TATCTACGAGTTTCATGTGTGCGGCACAAACAATTGCACATTTAGAGAATACATTGTAAATATAATTTTCAAACTGACAAATTATTTCAGCAAATGGCGGCATACATTTTTTGACAACTACCGTTTACGGTTATTTGGTTTTGTGAGTTACGTAATCGCAATTTGATCCGCTTTTTGAGTGTGGCGACTAACGGGGCTAAAACTAACTGACCAGTAAACGTAACACTACAAAAACAAGCAAATGGTTTTTCCTTTTTCTATTACTGTCCATGGAGTGTGGGTAGAGTTTTTATTTTTTGTTGTTGTTGTTGTTGTTGTAAGCACCTTATTTTCTAATTTAAAGGCAGCAGAAATTAATAGTGTGTTCTGAAAAAATCATTGTATGCCTTTTTTTATGGTTGTTGTTGGTTGAATCTTAATGTGGCTACTGGTATTTAACTGTATTCAATAGGTGCTTTAGGTTTGCTTTTCCCAGCAGTGAATCTATAGTGGTATTAACCAAAGTCAGCAAGTGGCCTGGCAGTCTGGCGACGGAACAGATCAGCTCAAGTAACGAATATTGTCAACAGTCATTGCTTGAGCTCATCTGCTCTTTTACCAGAGTGCCAGGCCACTTGCTCAATTTGGTGAATACCACTTACATATCTATTCCAATGATTAGCTAGTATTCTGATATTTGGAAGGGAGTTGAACCTTAAATTATATTTCGGTGACGCGCAATAATGCCAATGGAAGTAAAGTCAATCGACATAAATTCACTGATCCTGATATTAATATATAATTGAAAAGTGAATTAATACCAGAAATTTTAAAAATCATGCAAGCTTTACGGTGACGTGCAATAAGGTTAGCTGAAATAACGTCCACTACGACAATATTTCTAATACATAGTCCATAGACAATATTACCTTTTCGAAAGCGCTGTAAAAGCTACGGAAGTTATTGCTCTTTCAAAAAAAAAAAAATTCACAAAACTCCAATTTTAATAGGCGACTTACACAGTGCGTCTGACTCGCGAGTCATTTGTATACGTGTTGACTCCCCTTCGACTAATCACAGTTGAATCATTCAGAGTCATGCCAGGAGTCATGTCGGTGTAACTAACACATATTAAAAATGGACATTATAGTTATGTATGCATGTGGATACATCATGGACTGAATGATGAAACCTTATGGTTGTTATGCATAGGAGCTTTGATCCTTGCGATGAGCCTAGCAAAGCAAATGAATATCCCCTTATGCATATGTGCGTGTGGGTGTTTTCTGTACTTATATATGTAGGTCGAGTGAATCGCTTTTAAATACAAGGGCGTGCGTGTATTCGCTGCGCTTGAATTTGTGTGTAAAATGCACAAGTCATTTAAACAGCAATGAAAAGAGGTGTTTCCTTGTAGATACGGAACTCTATTATTAATAATACTAAAGTAATAACTATACTTAATTAATTTATTTATATTTTTATGCTTCATTTCCTGGACATAATTTCAAGGTCACTGAAAAAATGAGTACTTATATAGGACCGAAGTCTTTCAGCGTTGATCGGATGCTGGCAATGTTCGATGCCATTCTTGACGAAAAGTCGGTTTGACTTGTAACTTGTTGTCACAAATTTCAACCCTTGTAAATCTTAAGCTAATCAGCTTTGTTTCTGGTGAAAATGTGATGGATGGTACATCACGCTTACAATGCACAATGGGCTTGGATTTTATTGTATGTATAAGTCAAGTTGTAGGGTTTAATGTGCGTCAATATCTATGCGATTTCAATTAAATTTTACTGGTTTAACTTCCCGTTTCACGAAAGCAATTTAAGTGCAAATGAATTTTTTTTATTTGAATTTATTATGAAAACTGGCAGAATGGAAGAAATCCTCTCTCACTTAAGTTGCTGGTGAAACCGGCAAGTTAACAGTATCAATAAATATTTCTCTCATCATTTTATGCGGGAAGTTTCAACTGGTAAATATATGTAATAAATATGCTGGTATATCAGTAATGTGTATGGACTCCTCCAGCGTTGTATCGCGACTACGAAGTTTTAGCAAGCCAGTCTTAAGAGTACTTTCGTTAATTATTAGCGTATATGGTATGCCAAGGCAATCGGTTTTTTGAAGGCCAACATCCAATTCTTGAAAGGAATCTGTGAAAACTGTATTTTCACTTAACATCCGTAGCCCGGAGCGCTCGAGAACAAAGTGTAGATGCAAACATAAGTCCTCTAGATCGTCTATATTTTTGCCTTTTTTCGAATAAAACTAGTTAAATCATTTTATTTTTATTACATATAAAATTTTACCTTCATGGTAGCAGGCCACGGCACATTGAACAGGAGCCAGCTTTCTATCGAGTAACAGAGTATTATCACGATCATTATCAGCACTATCAAAGAGAATAGCTACAAAATGTATAGAAATATTTATTTACATACATATACACAAAATGAAAAAAATTTACACATTTGCCAACTTACCACCTGTTGCAGCGTTCAAATCAATAACTGAACGTATAACAGCCGGCATATTTTGGTCACCTTTATTATTGGACAAAAGCTGAAACGCAGTCTGATTCAAGCCAGCTCCAGCCAAGGGTACAAGGGTAATACTTTCGACATCGAACGTGAAATATGGTAATTTTGTTTTAATTGTTACGGATTGTGTGCCTGTAGGTAGCGTGGTATTCGGTATGTCCTCAAAATGATATGGTTCTAAGAAGTATTTACTAGGATCCGAACTAACTCGCATCCACCATATTTTACATTCACGTTGCGAATTGAAAAATTTACTAAATCCTTGAGCATGATGAACTAATAAATCCGTTATCAAAAACGTGTGCTGGCGAGCGCCAGAA